GATCTTAACTCGATTCTTCCATACCTTCCGATTTTGATCCGTTCGTCGTCGCTGTATTGGCCGCCGCGAGTGGTGGAGGCGTTAAAAGCCATGTCTGAAGGACCGTCACACAGCCGAGTTGACTCAGGAGAAGTTCTATGGCAAGCTATTTCCGATATGAGACAATCCCTTTCTTTGTCAACTCGCTTTCTCGCTCCATCTGCTTCTCATGGCTACGCCCTTTTATTCGACGAAGTGATTATCCCTCCTTTCTTTGGTTTCTATTGATTTCTGGTGATGAATTACAATAGTGGAACAATAATGAATTTTTTTTTTCTTAATACTTTACAGCTGATTCATGAGCAAGAATCAAAGAGATGGTTCAATGAGATTATCCCTGCATTGGCAGGGTTACTCCTTCGGTTTCCATCTCTATTAGAAGTGCATTTCCAAAATGCAGATAATATCATTAGTGGAATCAAAACAGGTCTTCGCTTGTTACATCCACAAGAAGCTGGCATAGTTTTCCTCAGCCAGGTATTGATGCTGCATAGTGTTATTTTCATACATATCAGCTTAAAGGTGCTTATTAATACAAGAAAACAACAATTATGTCTCTGTTATGTGTTCTTCAGACTATGCATGCTAGATATTTGTAGAAAGATGTTTTTGTTCCATTGCTTTGCTGGATTGCATGGTTCGTTTGTCGGATTTTTCTAGGTTAGAGGAATTGCAATGTGTAGTCGGAAGAGTAATGAGCTAGTCTTGTCGAAGATGTAGTGGATTATCAGTTTCCTGACATGTTCATTACGCTTTTAATTTTGCAGGAGTTGATTGCAGCTCTTCTTGCATGCGCTTTCTTTTGTTTGTTTCCAGTTGCTAATAGAGGTGCAAAAGACCTTCCAGTCATCAACTTTGATAATTTGTTTGCGTATGTTACCTCTCGCTTTATCTTCTAAACTTTTTCTCACAGTTAGACCTACATTAGTCAGGTCTGGACAAAATGCCTAATGTGAAAAAGTCAGTCATTTGGCACAAGTGATAAGTGATCAAGTAAGTAGTTTGAAAGAAAGGGAGTCAGTATTTATGTGACTGACGATCACACTCGAGAGTCTAAAGAAAGCAAATCCTCTAGAGATTCCATGTAGGCTTCATCCATTAAGAGCTCACTTGTTAGACTTGGACAAGCTTGTTGTGAGAAAATCAAAACATAGCATGTGTCATCTCTAGATTTTGGTTTTTTTTAACTTAGCAATTCATATGCGGTATCTTCTCTTGTGTCCATTGAGTAAGTTTCATTTGAAGTTTTGGACTTCGTGTAGATGAAGTGTGACATCAGAGTTTCACTTGCTTTCCAGGAGCCTTTATGAAAGTTATAGTGAAAGTCACGAAAGCAAGATAAGGTGTATTATGCATTACTTTGAAAGGGTGTGCTCCTGTTTGCCTACTGGGACCGTTTCATTTGAACGCAAGATTCTTCCAGCTGAATCCCACGATCCTTCTACCACTGCTCCTGAGACTGATTTTTGGAGCGAGTCTGACATTTCCCTTTGTGCTTTTAAGGTAATAGGAACAGGGATGTGGATTACCTTACCTTGCTTGCACCACAATATTTGCAGATTATTTTTNTTGACAACTATTATTGTTATAGGTTCATTCTTCTGGGTTAATAGAAGATCAATCTAACAATGCTCTGGAAGTGGACTTTGCGAACAAGTATCTTGGAGGTGGTGCCCTAAATAGGGGGTGTGTACAGGTTTGAGACTCATATTGCATAGTAAATTTCAGAAGCATACATGATTGTTCCTTGATTCTTGAGTTCCCTTTTGGTATGAAAGCTCTACTGTATCAATGGCTTGGGATTATTCATTGACTGTCTAATTCGATTCTTGTGCAGGAAGAGATACGCTTCATGATCAACCCTGAATTAATTGCTGGCATGCTTTTCTTGCCTCGCATGGATGATAATGAAGCTATAGAAATAGTTGGTGCAGAAAGATATTCATGTTACACAGGGTGAGATTAGGTAGTTTTGTAGAATTGTTCTCTGTTTACTTAATAGTGGCTGGTTAATCTCTGTATTTTGATACTTATGGACCAATAGGCTCATTAACATGTCAAGTATGTACAAATCCTGATTGAGGCACGTTGAAACAAATAAACAGTGTGCAACTAGATTATTTTTTTTTGTTGAAAAATAAGGGTAATAGTTATGTATTTGCTGACGTAGAAATGGCCAATAGTTGGGATTTAAATTTATCAAGTTTTGAATAATTTTTAGTTAACTCATTCTAGTTATTTACCCTTATTTTGTATGAAATTGTTATGTGCTGTAGGTATGCATCTTCGTTTCGGTTTGCAGGTGCCTACATTGACAAAAAGGCAATGGATCCTTTCAAAAGGCGAAGAACCAGAATTATTGCAATAGATGCATTATGTGCCCCAAAAATGAGACACTTTAAAAAAATAAGCCTTTTGCGGTATGTGAAACCTTCTTTTGGGGATTTGTAGGTGCCTTAGACAATTTTAAGTTTGTATTTATTCGAAATTTTGGAGTCTAACTTCTCGTTTTTCTCTTTACACTTGAAATTTAATGTCTCTTTTCCCCTCTCTCTATCTGTTTTTCCAGGGAAATTAATAAGGCTCTATGTGGCTTTTTATATCATAAAAGATCTTGGCAGCACCAGAACATATTCATAGATAGAGAAGATAATGAAATTCAGCTTGCCAGAAACGACAAAGATTCTGGTCTTTCGCATACAGAAACTACTGTGGTTGGAATTTTTGATATGAACCTATATGGCTATATTACCCATTTTCGTTAATTAATATTTTGAAAAGAAAGGTTTCAAACTATTTTTGTTATTGTCCACCGCTTCTGAAACAGCCACGGGAAGCTCCACTAAATGATGTAGAGACAAATAGAGAGAAGCCTGCTAACAATTTTGTCAGAGATTTTTATGTGGACGGAGCCGATCCTAAGGATCATGAAGATGATGGTGTTGCGACTGGGAACTGGGGATGTGGTGTTTTTGGAGGAGACCCGGAGCTAAAGGCTATGATCCAATGGCTTGCTGCTTCCCAGGTGCCTTTCCCATCATAATTATAATTTCCCTGGATGGTACAAGTTGAGTACCAATAGGCGGTGGAAATAAACACATAAAGATCACTTCCCTCTGAAACCAGAAATTTAGTGTGTTTTGACTTTAAGAAGCAGTCCATGTCACTTTTGACTAATATTTTCTAGAATTAGACTCAAGTTTCCGAAGTTTTCTTTTGGACAATGAGATATATAGCGGTTTTCATTTGAAGCTTCTTTCTTGACTTGGTCATGGGTATTTTCCAGGCGCGGAGACCATTTATATCATACTACACTTTTGGAGTGCAGGCCCTCCAAAACCTAGATCAGGTAACCTCTAAGCATTGGATTTGTAGTAAGTGTATCATACTGCTAAGGCGTGTGTGAACTTTCTTTGATTTTGCAACTGATACATCATCTTACAAGGACAGGCGACCAAGTGGATTATTTCTCATGAATGGACCGTTGGAGATCTATGGAACATGATGCTAGAATATTCTGCTCAAAGGCTGTACAAGCAAACCAATCTTGGCTTCATTTCTTGGCTACTTCCATCTTTAGCTACCAACAAAGAGTCTATCCAGCCACCTTGACTCTGTGAATTTACCTTCATCAAGTTGTTTGTTGGATATGAATAAGTTATTTCACCAGTTCTTGATCCTCAAGCATCATGTCATTTAGGCACTAGTCATGCTGATTTATGGTTTTGGTCAAATGTTTGAACCACTCTTTATTTAAATAAAACAAGTTCTCTTGTGGTGGTTATGCAGAAATTTCCTGGGAAAGTTAGCTGCCAAAGTAAACGAATAGACTCAGTCTTTCAGGAAAACGTGTTCCTGTTTGACTTTGGTGTTATCTGTTATAAAGAAATAATATGGGTCGTTATTTCTTTTTCTTCAAACTAGTTAATGAACTAAATAATACAGATACAGCATCAGATATCGATATCCTTTTCTAAATCTTCTGCAAACTTGTATCTCCTTTTTAAATCTCTTTCAGGAAATCAAGAAAGGAAAGGATGGAGAAGAGGGAAGATCTCAGGTCAATTCTTCAGTATCTGCCTCTTGTGGCTCAGTCTTCATCTCTAGTTTGGCCACCTTCTGTTGAAGAAGAGCTCCAAACAATGTCTAGAGGACCGAGTGAGTCAATGGTCAACTCGGGAGAGAGACTGGCTCTCCATATGAAAAATATGAAGAGATCCCTCTCCTTGAATCCATCTGACCTTGCAGATTATGAGTTAAAAGGATATGCTCTTTACTTTGACAAGGTACCACTTCTTTTGTCCATCTATCTAATTTCTTGGTTATTTATCTCTTAAGGTGATTTAGAATGGAGGAGCTTTAAGGAAATGGTAGGCATTCGTAAAGGACTCGCAAACAATGGTTTTGTTGTGTTGCAGAAAATTTCCAGAGAAGAGTCAGCTAAGTTTTTTGATGAAGTGGTTCCTGCGTTGTGTGGATTACTTCTGCAGTTACCTTCAATGTTAGAAACGCACTATCAGAATGCAGAGCATGTTCTTGATGGAATTACATCGGGGCTTCGTCTATTAGGTCCCCAAGAAGCTGGCATTGTGTTTCTTAGCCAGGTATACTCTCCTGAGTCCAAAAAAATGTGTTACGTTGCATTGAATGGAAGTTGATATAGTAACTTTCTAGTATCCTCTCTTCTTCTAATTTTTCACCCCTCTATATCTTCTGTCTTCTGCAGGAATTGATTGCAGCTCTTCTTGCCTGTTCCTTCTTTTGTTTATTCCCTGAAGTTGGCAGAGGCTTAAAGCATCTTCAAAGAATCAACTTTGATGAACTATTTGTGTATGTGGCTGTGTTCTTATCCTTACAAGTTATACCTATATGCCCCAAAGTTACAAATCCTTCGTGTATGTTTTAAGGTTACCGAGTATGCATCACTGCTCGAAGCAGGAAAACAAAATAAGATGCCTAATCAATTACTTTGGAAGAATATGTCGATGTATGCCCACCGGGTTTGTTTCATTTGAGAGGAAAATTCTTCCGCTGGAACACCATCCTGGCTATATTTCTTATCCTGAGGCGGATTACTGGGCCAAATCCATCACCCCGCTTTGCTCTGTCGAGGTAACAAAGAAACACTCTTAGTTAAGCCTTCTTCACCATTTGAATTCGTTTAGTTTAGACGAGTCATGAATGTGCTTAAGGTTAGTATCCTCTTGATCCTTTTTTTGGGGAATAGATTCATACCTCAGGAGCTATAGAAGATCAACCCCGTGAAGCTCTTGAAGTGGATTTTGCAGATGAGTATTTTGGAGGCCTTACTCTGAGTTATGACACTCTACAGGTCTAACTTTTAACTTCGTTTTTTTAATCTCTTCTCAAAAATTCTTCATGCAGACTCTACCATCGCATTCACTGAATCAGTCTCAAGTTTTTCTTATATGATGATCTGCTGAATATGTCAAAACGTCTTCCTATGCAGGAAGAGATAAGGTTCGTGATCAATCCAGAACTTATCGCCGGCATGATCTTCTTGCCTCGTATGGATGCAAATGAAGCAATTGAGATTGTTGGTGTTGAAAGATTTTCACGTTACACAGGGTAAGTACCAGCAAATTGAAGTAGATGTTAAGCTTATTATAGTTTTCAAGAAATCCAACACATGGTGGTGGTGTTCAGGTATGGACCTTCATTCCAATACGCTGGCGATTACACAGACAAGAAGGGTTTAGACATTTTCAGGAGGCGAAAAACGAGAGTCATAGCTATAGATGCACTTCCTGGCCCTGGAATAACTCAGTACAAACTTGATGCCCTTCTTCGGTAATCAAAACTTGCCATTCAGCCTATTCATATTTTCTTTTATAACTTCGGTTCTCAGTTAATCATTTTTGTTTCTACAGAGAAGTTAACAAGGCCTTTACCGGATACCTGCATCAATGTAAATATCGAATGGATGCATCTCTTAGGATCCCACTCGAGACAGACACTAACCCTTCTAGCTATACTCACTCTGAGGCATCGTCTTCTGTAAGAACATAATTTTTGCTGCATACATGGCTTTAGCGTACTTGTTGAGGTTTTTGTCCCGACTTTAAGAAGTTCAAACTTATTTTTGCTTAGCGGCCTGATCCTCTTCCATCAGCTTCTTTGCGCCAAGTTGTAGAAAGCTCCCAGAGATGGTGTATTGATCATGAAGAGATCATTGGTGTTGCTACAGGGAATTGGGGTTGTGGTGTGTTTGGAGGCGATCCTGAACTAAAGATCATGCTTCAATGGCTTGCCGTTTCACAGGTACGCTTCTATCAATTTCTCTTGCAAAACACCATTATCTTTCCATTTCACTGAGAAAACGCTCGCTACTCTCTCCAGTCCGGAAGACCCTTCATGTCGTACTACACATTTGGACTCCAATCCCTGCAAAATATCAATCAGGTAACTAGAATCCGAATTTATTGTAACTACTTGACTATTTCAAGATCTAAGAGAACATGTTAATATTTATGCTTTTTCAGGTGATCGAAAGGGTCACTATGCAAGAATTGACTGTAGGAGACCTATGGAATAAGGTAGTTGAGTATTGTGAAGAGAGATTCATCAGAAAAACAAGACTTGGCTTCTTCTCGTGGCTCATAACCTCACTCTCTGCTTAGAGGACGAATTGAGTCAAAGTTATACATATTATTTTCTGAGTTCTATGAGATACACTTATTATCTCTGTCTGTTTCTGACATCTCAAGTCTATTATTACCCATCAAATGTTGTCTCTCTCACTTACACTAGATTTTGTCTGAATAATCTTTCCTTATGTAATTGATCTATACTCTATACCGATCTTGTCCTCTGAAGTGTGTTCGAACGGCTTTGTTTCATTACCAAAGAAGGAAATCTTGATCTGGTTTTGTTCGAGGATTTATATATTTAATAAAGGAAGTTGGAAATAAAACTTGCTAAAAAGTAAAAACACCAAAATTATCATTCCATTAAAAAGTTGGGTTTAAGGAAGCTAATTCAACACTCGGAATAAATGAG